CATTTTCAATTGAAATTGAAGATTGAGTTCAAAATGGATGTTAGAAATTTGGATTAGAAGTCTCTTTGGTGTTTAAAGTTTGAATTAGTGAACTATGGTTGTGAACTTTGCATTATAATAGTAGTGGATTATGTTGATAACTTGAATAGTTGGTGGAGTATTAATGAAATGCTATATTTTTTATGAGTGTATGACTTTTTTTCAAAGGTATATATATTTTTTTATTATTTATTTAAAATTGCATCGTATCTTACGATACACGATACGATACACGATACGATACAATATTTGTATCTTACGATACGCCTTCCGATACACGATTTGATAACTATGCACCAGAAAGTCAGAAACTCGCCACTTTGGGATATTAGCAGTTACTAGAATTCACAACTAGAAATATTATTATTAAAAAGGAAAATTTAGTACCAATTGACAACTACTAATATTACAAACGGCAAACTTACTGGCCCAACTGATTCAAAAAATAATAATAATTCTAGATCCGTAATTGCCAGAAAACAACTGAGTAATATGCATAATCCCTCAACATTGAAGCTGACCAAAAACCTATTTTGCAATCTTTTATGAGACCATAAATACTTCTAAGTAAAGGTTAAGCAACAAATGCTTTCCGAGAATATGAAAACAATCTAAATTCCTATCCCCCTTCGACAAAAGATGGTGACATGTTCAGAACAGATACAAGCCACATGTAATTCTTTCCATCCCCCACATATCTAAATTCCCTCAACAGCAATGAAGATATTTTGCTTTCGTATCTCAATGAAAAATATCTACTTCACCAAGAACAAATGGATAATAGGTCCCCCCTCCCCAAAACCACAGTTCAAAGTATCGACTCAGTCCGATAAGACTCGTTCACGTTACAAAAAAAAAAACACAAGTTGTGTTCGAATTGGTACAGCTCGGGCCAACTAAGTACCATCTCGTTCGAGTTGGCCAATTCAGATCCGAGTCGAACCGATTCGCATAGAATCACTCCACCATAACCTCAAACGATAAAGAAAATGCTAAAAAAAAGGGCAAAAGAGATGAAGAGCAAAAATGAGAGCCACAATCTGCAAACAAACCCAAGGTTCTCTCCAATCTCTCAACCCTAACAAAAGAACCACATGCCCTTTTTGCATTATAAAAACCGTTCAACTAATTAGAGAAAATAGTAACACTAGTAAATCACAGAAGAAACAATAGAAAGCTTCTTCAAGTTCGAACACTTCTTATTCTTCTTCGCACGTGTAGAGATCCACCACAACAAAGCTTTGAGCCTTCGATCTAACCAATACCCTCTCTCAATCCAATGATCTCTCTCTCTCGCACACTATTTGTATGAATCTGATCGGCATCCCCCTTCCTCGGGTCAAACGACCGAAGCTTAAATTATTAAGCACAGTCAAGTCTCGAATAAGTCCACGCCATTGCCTTTTTAAAAACACATTTTGTCATTTCTCATTTCTCAAACCCCCTAACTCACTGCCTTTTAAAAAAAAATAATTACCCATTTCATTTCTCAATCCCACTGACTCACTCCCTTTTTAAATTTTCTTTTTATCCTTTTTCATTTTCCAATCCCACTTGTCATTTTTGTTTTATGTTTTCTTTCAATTTCTATTTTTTTTCTGCTAATTACTTTATAGTATAATTAGGTTTCTTGCTTTCCGATAACACCCTTATAATTTTTCTTTACTATGTTTAACGTGTAAATAATGATTTTTGGTATATGATCCATGAATGACGATGTTTAAATTTTTTATAATTTTTTCAAATTGTTTTGAGCCTTCTATCTAGCATTCTGAGCGAGCGTATCAGCCGATATCACGTTGCAACCGATGTGTCTCAATCTCATCCAAGTCGGTGACTGATATTATGACTTTGAACCATATCTATTAGAGGTAACAATAACGCATGCATTCACAAATTCATGTGATAGAATGCCTCAACCGGTAACAATAACTCATGCATCAGAATTCCAAAATAACTGTCGAACACCATCAATATTACCTCTTTCATTGCACTCGAAAAAGTCTTCCAAGCCACTCGGTGTCAGAAGTATTCATGGGCATTCAGTCTAACCAACCAATAGGAAATTGTAAAAAAGAAACCAAAAAATGAAAGAAAGCAAAACCCCACTCTTTTCGTATGATTATCATGATGCTTTAATTAAAATTTAGCTCCAAAAATTTACATACTCAAGAAGACAAGTAAAAACATCCAAATGAACTTAAACCCAGCCACAATAAAACATAGGTCCCAGGCGATAATGACAACACTACGGAACACAAAAATGAGATGTGACAAGAAGAAAGACAGATGGGAGAAATATGACAGATGTATTATACTAATATAAGTTTCCTATATAAACATTGTATTTATTATTAACATCCAAATATGAATAAATGGGGTGAATCACTCCTTAAATCAAAATTACATGGCAGAAAGGAGGAAGAAAGTATAACTCACACAAGACGAAACGAAACTAAATCTATCTCAAAAGTTCCAACCCACTTTCTACAACCAAATTGCTCCCAACTTTTATCAACTAAATCCAGTTCATCATCACTAATTAAGCTATATCCTACAGTTAAAAATAAGATGCAGTCTGACTATGGCAAAAACCAATCCAACCTGTTCATTCATTAAACTTCTAAAACAAAGTAGCTTAATAAGCTTAGCCACACATTACCTGCAGTCTCAGTGAGCAGACACAAATAAAGCCAACACAATTGTGTGACTCAAGAAATGTTAGTTTCAAGACTCGTGTATATGCGAGGCCTACAAGGAAATATTTTCTTAATTTCCTTTTCAATTAACCAGAAACAAGGAGCTGGAAGCTAAAGAACTGCATGGATCACCTACAGAGATAATGATTCAGAATGCTCAGACAAAGAATTAGATGTCTATGGCTGTTTCAAAATCTGTCTACATAAGTTCTGACTTCTGACAAAAGCTCATCTCCATATCCATGTTTTCAATGTTAACTTGCTCACTACCAATTCCAACATTACACCTTTTAGGGACTTGGCTAGTGAATCCTCAAAAATAACACAATTGTACAAAAGGAATCTTCAGCAACTAAACAGCGTCCAATTATTTGTCCACACCCTTCCTCCGAGCAAGAAACTCCAACTTATTCATGGTGGGGATTGGCAACTCATGAAGGTCATATAATATCAAAAAGTCATGAGCAACAAAAGATGGTACCCTAAATTAGGAAATAAGAAGAACTGAGGAAGGGTGGAAAGCACTGTTAATGTCACAAGTAGAATTATGAAGACAATGTCCATCCTCCCAGAAATTTTAATTCCCATGGTGAGATTGAAATGGACTCACTAAGGTACGAAAGCAAGTGCCAACTATATGCATACACATGCTCACAATATATTCTCAAGCAGAGACGAGTTTGAGATGAAGTATGTGGAAAGAACAGCTGGCAATGCAGTGAGTTTATGGCAAGGATGAGGCTATAGTGAGGAGCCTATGTTCATGTTCGCATATGGCTTAGATGTAAATGCCAAAAAAAAAAGAATTATCACCCTTAATTCAAAACGCAATTCCAGTAAGAAAGAAAAATCTCTGTGATAAAACTAAACAAATTTCAGAATAAAACATATAAACCCAAATCAAACATCACAAAGAGTAGAGCCACATGGATTCTTCCATGGGCTAGATGACACCAAACTACCAAACTATTGCATTAGCAGGTAGCAAAGCACTTTCTATAAGTGCAGGACAAAGGCATCGAATTTCTATCACCAACTTGTCCAATATCTCTTGGAGGCACAACATCTAAAACTGACATATAACATCAAAATATAAAAGAAAAGATAGGGCATGTTATACCTCTAAGTTTACTATCCATTGCTTTGTTTCCCAAACCCTCCATACGCCCATCTCTACCCTTTCCTGTACCCGTATTATGAATGATCACAGTGGGCGGCCAAATAATGAGATCCTCCTGGTTTGCTATTGCCTCATCAGCAGATAATAACTGATATGCCTTGGAGTTATCAGGTGGCTTTAAATAGTTCCACCCCATGAGAACACACAAAGCTTTGTGTAAGGCCAAGTGATCCACATTCAAGTCTGTAGTATCTGAGTTGTACGTGTGCATGACAAGACCATGCATATCCGGAAAAATTTTAGAAGACCTGTAATTTTGCATATCAAAGATGCCATGTAGTTCAATTTTATATCTAAGACACTGCTATAGGATTGCAATAAGAAAGTAACGGTACAATAAAAATTGAAACAGAGCATTCACCAGTTTAAGGAGAATTGAAGGTAATTTTACAGAAGGATAAAACAACAAACTGTATATATGCATCCTCCTAAATCATCAACCCACATAGCAAGCATCAAACAATGGCAAAGCATGTCTGAACCCAAAAAAACTGTTTGAAACGAGACCTGATAGCAATTACGCACAACAAACCATTTCTATTTTAGGAAAGACAGCATTAGTTTGTTAACCTCAAATGATGCAATAAAAAACCCCCATCATAATAGCCACAACATTTCAAGGAGGACGAATTTGTGCTTTCCAACTATATAAATGAGAATTTGGACTAAATGATTTTTTCAGGACAGCAAAATACATTTCAAATGAAATTTCAAGCTAACAAGCCATTTTATCATAGAACACACCTAGACACAACAAATACTAAAATATTAGAGTTATTTTTGACCTCGATCCTGGAACGAGGTTGACGGGAAAATCAGCAGCAAAATATCAAGAAGAAACCATCATTAGTTCCATCAGTTTTTAAAAAAATTACAAGGGTCATGAACTTCGGAGAATTAACGGACAACCACATATTCACTCTTCCAACACCACAAACCACTATTATTGTGTTATTGACTCACTAAGAGCCATGGTTCCTACAAGTGACAATTTAGGCAACTAAGGCAGAGCAACCAATGGGAGTAACACTGATATTAAAATCAGCATAGAGCTGCTATGAACGACATATCAAGTGCAACAAAAAAAAATTAGTGTACACTAAAAACCTCAAACAAGGTGAATTCATGTGGGAAACCACATGCATAGAAAAATGTATCAGAAAGTCATCCCGTAGTGATCCATCAAATAACATAATTAGAATAGATGCAAATTAACAACCAATACCACAGGAGTCAAACAATAGGTCAATTGTAATGAGTTTCCTTTAAGACTCCTGCGCATGTCACAGAAGCAGCACTGATCTACCATAAACTCAGATTATAAAGTGACTAGTCTCAGCTGAGGTCTAAATAACAAATAAAAAGCAAGCCATTGCCAAGTTGCAATCCCGCGAGTATCAAATACTCACAAAAAATTACCCCCAACCACATCACCCCCTTGCATCTGAAATAAACTGACTACAGGCCATGAAGAGTGGAAGGTTAATCAAGAGTAACATGTATACATAGCTATTAGCTACAGGAACTAAAGAAACTACACTATGAGAGAGTTGTTAAGAGTCATTACCAAGAACTGTAAACAATCTAGTCGTCTAGATATATAATCAACCCGTAAAGCTCAGCTCATCACACAAGTGCATAACACCATAAGCCAACCTCAACCGAGTACTAAATGACTGCTACACCACAACTCACAACAAACCATGGCGACAGCTTCTTAACAAACAAAATGAAAGTGGCCACATGCCATAGATACTTTTCACCAACTCTTCATAAAGGATATACATCAGAAAAAGGGCAGGATTCTCAACACATCTGTGCTCTCCAAATAGCTTTGTGGGAAAACAAAAGAAAACCGCAGGTTCAAAGAAACAAATGTGAGTAACCTTACATAAAAATCTTGGAGCTTGTTTTACCTGTTCTCGACAAACATGTCCGTCCAATAAACGCTTTCTTCTGTCCACATCACAAATGAACAGATAACAAATCTAGCATCAGTTCCAAGTTCCAACACTAGCTAAGGCATACGTAAACTCTGTGGTATTAAATTGCAACTGCAATAAAGTGACACCCCCACTTATTACTCTTATCGACTCATTCAAGAGTTCCAATATGAAAGGTTACATAAACCATGGTTCAAAGTATCGACCCACATTGATTCGACTCGGCAAAGTCGTTTGACTCAACACCTCTGCATCTAATACCATTTCACGTCTTGTATAAATAACTAGTCTCACAGAATTTGGCTAAGTCGTCTGATTTATCTCCTAGTCAACCGAGTTGTCCAAGTCAATATCGCCAAATTAGCCTACAACATCCTGTGATGCCACGATATAGCCTAAATCAGATCGCAGCGATATAGCCTGAATCACTAATTATGTTCAACTTCTTTCATGTAACATTTCATGGATATTGCCCAATACCGTTCTACAACGCCATGACCAATGTGTCTCAATACTATCCGAGCCAATGGCTAATTCCGCGACCTTAAACCATAATAGGAAGTGATGCAAAAGTATACAAAAAGAGACTGCAATAGAATTGAGTCAGTTACTTCCACGTCAATAGTATTCTATGGCGAACAATAAACCAACATAGCACTGCTAAGAAATGCTCTTTTTAAATAGTTTGTTATATATATATAATCTAATTTCAAATTGCATCATAGCAAAACAAGTTAGATTTTCCCAGACCATCACGTAGTGTGCTCTATCCATACACAAGATAGGTACACATTATTAACAAAGCTAACTTGAAAAGTTGTGAATCAACAATGAAAGAGGTAGTCGCCAGATTTTATCAATCGAGACATATACATTCATTATTTCATCCCTTGATCATCCCACAAAGATTGGAGTTCTATACCACAACCATGTGAGATTAATCAAATTGCTCACAATCTCCCGCAAATTATTACATGGAATACAAGAACAACAATATGAAAGCACAAAAGCAGAAAGTTACTTTTAACAATTGTAACTAAAGCAACTTCACCCTAAAACCCAGCCCATTGAAAGGAAAACGTAGTCATTATTCGTTAAAACACATATTAGAACCAACACAGTATCTATACAATTGATGAGATGAAAAGGTCGGAAGGTATCATTTTCCCAAATAACAGTAATTTTTGTTCCCCAAACATAATGAGAAAACACCATTACAACTCGAGCACTCTACTTGGAAGAAACCAAAGAAAAAGTCTGTTCTGAGCAGGTTATGAACTATAAATGCAGGGGAAGCAAAATTTTGACGGACATTAAAATTAAGCATATGGGTAAAAAGCCTTATACATAGCTCTACCTCCTTAGCTTGAGAAGGGTCATTAGAACCAATTGGGATCTCATAATACTAAAAAAACATTGCAAGATTCCCAACATATGCATCTTAGAAGCTTATCAGCCTTTTACTAAAACATTGCATTGTTAAACAAACAGTGCTGGAGGTGATGAGGGCCGCAAGACCTACAGTTCCATGGCATCATTACAGCAAATAATTCCACCTCTTTGTATGAACCTTGCCCTAAACAATATAATAAACTACTACTAAATCAAATAGCAACAGTCAACAGAACTGTCATCCATTTGAAAATCCTAAATCACTGGCGTAAATCTCAAGGTTGACTCCTCTCTCAAGACGCCTAAAGCAAATATTCAGATAGCATCCTATTTATCTAGCAGAAAACTTCACAACATTAAAATTAGCAAAAGGCACTCAAAACTGCAACTGTTTATGTAGCAGCTCCGATAGACCAACAAGGTATAGCATAAATTAAATGCACCAACAAACTAACACAAGAAAGCAGAAATAGCACAACTTTCATATATATTTTGACTTGGGATAAAAATTCTCTTAAACATCCTCCCTCATATGAGATTCGGGGTTGCACATGGGCTAACAAACCGAACCACAACAAACAAACATAAGAAAACATTCAAATGGGCATGAGACTTGATGTTATGTCATTGCCAGAATATCCAACTCAAAATCAACTGTCAATGGATGGTGAGGCTCCATCAACTATTTATACAATCCTTGGATGAGCCTAATCATTAGCAATATAATAAAAGGGAGTGAAGATACCAGTTTAGGAAGGAAAGAAAAGGACTTCCAAATGCTTGCCAAAAAATCATAGAGCTATCTACCTTCAATAAATATACATACTTCAACAAAAATCAGAAGTTTTAACCCTTCATGCTAACAACCCAAGAAGCACATTTAAATGCTACTCAAATATATATATAGCTCCACGGCTAAGGACCAAGAAAAAACAACAAACTGAGCACTATGTCCCTAAAACAGAATTTTACTCATCATCAAGAACGCAATGTTGCTAAAACAGAAGTATAATCATCATCAACCAAAGTAACTCAATATCTATTGAAAACTACCAAAAACAAGAGTACAAAATATCAAATAGAATTGCAAAGTAAAGACTTAATTATTTAGGAAGCATTCTTGTCACAGTTGGTTTCTTCACCTTCATCTTGAACTTTTCTTTTAATAATTAAGTCAAGTTAACTATAACTTTTGTTTTTTTTTTTTTTCAAATTGAAGGGAAAAAAGTAAAGAACAGAAACTCTACTTGTTTTTGCCTCTATGTTGAAGAAGGGTATCTGCCCAAACAACTCCTAATTAAAGCTTGAAGCTTGGTAAACATCTTATCTCCAATCCCCCACTCTATCTATCCATTAGGAAAAAAAATTATAGCCCTTACAAGTTACAACGTTCAGGAGCCTCTAAAATCCAATGCGAGAAAAAATCTTACGTAATATCAAAACTCCAACTATCCCAACAAGCCCTCTCTTCATAAACTTTCCAGACCATGCATGAAAATTCTGTTAGGATGAAAATTTTGTATAAATAGTCAGGACACAAGCAACACAAGATTCATATGTTTATATCAGCATCAACCCAAAAAGAAAGACCATCTTCCTCAATAGTTTTAGATCAAGATCAAAGATTACAAAACTCAAAATAAGCATCAGACAGACATGTTCACTAGAAACTGCCCTATATTTTTGCACAACCTTTTAATTTAGCAAGCACCAAATTCCTGCATGCTATATGTTATGCACAAAGCATTGAATAAAGCATGTGAACCTCCTAACATGCTTACCAATTTCAGGAGCCTCTAAAGCCAACGCATGAAAAGAATTTTACTTCAATACCAAAACTTCCTCTATACCACCACACCCCCTCTCCTAAAACTCCTTAAAACATTATCCAGACCATGTGAAAAAAGACTGGTCTGACCAAAAATATAGTAAAAATAAGCAGGACACGACCAAGACGAGACTTAAATGTGTATCAGCATCTACCCAATAGCATGTCTATAACAAAACCATCTCCCTTAATAGTTTTAGCTCAATGTCCAAATTTCACAAATAACCATCAGACCGACATGTTCACAAGAAACTGCCCTAAATATCCACACAATCCTTTTACTTAGTAAGCAACAAATTCTATATGCTATCTTATGCAGGAACCTTTTCCCTTAAACATAACTTTAGAGCAACAAATAACTATTTCAGGCAGAACCTTACAATCAGGGAACCTACACACACTTAACCAGCAAACATATCTAGATTGATATAACAAAATTTATCCTATATATTCAGCAACCCTCCTCCAGAGCAAACAAACTTAGGCCTATCTAGATTCAATTCTCATCATAAATGTATCAAAACAAATTTAAGCCCATTTTTGTCAAACCTGCAGGCGACACATTGAAGAGGCCCCTGCTTTCCATCCGCCAAGTAATTCTTCTTCTGATTCACATTCTCATAAATTACCTTCACAAAATTCAAAAACGCCTTTTTTAAGGCGCTNTTTTTGCCTCTATGTTGAAGAAGGGTATCTGCCCAAACAACTCCTAATTAAAGCTTGAAGCTTGGTAAACATCTTATCTCCAATCCCCCACTCTATCTATCCATTAGGAAAAAAAATTATAGCCCTTACAAGTTACAACGTTCAGGAGCCTCTAAAATCCAATGCGAGAAAAAATCTTACGTAATATCAAAACTCCAACTATCCCAACAAGCCCTCTCTTCATAAACTTTCCAGACCATGCATGAAAATTCTGTTAGGATGAAAATTTTGTATAAATAGTCAGGACACAAGCAACACAAGATTCATATGTTTATATCAGCATCAACCCAAAAAGAAAGACCATCTTCCTCAATAGTTTTAGATCAAGATCAAAGATTACAAAACTCAAAATAAGCATCAGACAGACATGTTCACTAGAAACTGCCCTATATTTTTGCACAACCTTTTAATTTAGCAAGCACCAAATTCCTGCATGCTATATGTTATGCACAAAGCATTGAATAAAGCATGTGAACCTCCTAACATGCTTACCAATTTCAGGAGCCTCTAAAGCCAACGCATGAAAAGAATTTTACTTCAATACCAAAACTTCCTCTATACCACCACACCCCCTCTCCTAAAACTCCTTAAAACATTATCCAGACCATGTGAAAAAAGACTGGTCTGACCAAAAATATAGTAAAAATAAGCAGGACACGACCAAGACGAGACTTAAATGTGTATCAGCATCTACCCAATAGCATGTCTATAACAAAACCATCTCCCTTAATAGTTTTAGCTCAATGTCCAAATTTCACAAATAACCATCAGACCGACATGTTCACAAGAAACTGCCCTAAATATCCACACAATCCTTTTACTTAGTAAGCAACAAATTCTATATGCTATCTTATGCAGGAACCTTTTCCCTTAAACATAACTTTAGAGCAACAAATAACTATTTCAGGCAGAACCTTACAATCAGGGAACCTACACACACTTAACCAGCAAACATATCTAGATTGATATAACAAAATTTATCCTATATATTCAGCAACCCTCCTCCAGAGCAAACAAACTTAGGCCTATCTAGATTCAATTCTCATCATAAATGTATCAAAACAAATTTAAGCCCATTTTTGTCAAACCTGCAGGCGACACATTGAAGAGGCCCCTGCTTTCCATCCGCCAAGTAATTCTTCTTCTGATTCACATTCTCATAAATTACCTTCACAAAATTCAAAAACGCCTTTTTTAAGGCGCTCTGATCGACCTCATTATGCTTAAGACCGGTATTATCACCGGTCCTCATATACTTCGGTGCCCTCATTTCATCGCCTCTCCCCATGTATCCACCACTTGTCCCCGGACCAATCTCCAACCCCATATTAGCATACTGCAAAAGTTGTTGTCTTTGCCTATCAATCCTCTCTCTCCCTTCTCTCTCCTCATCCCCAAACTTCCTCTTCAGTGAATTCTCAAGTGATCCCGGCAATGGCCCGTTACCACGTCCATCTAACCCCAGTGAATTCCAGTAATCTTGGTTCCGATTTCGCATATACAAATCGTCCCGATCACGAAGATCGGGCCGACCCCCTCTATCAAACCCTAAACCCGGGCCGGGCAATTCAGGCCCAGAAGGCAATAACCGGCCATTAGGGCCCACAGGCCTAGGCGGAGGCGTAAAATCTTGGTAATCAGGCGGCAAAGCGAAGTACGATCGGACGGAACCGTCGGCCAGAACAATAGTTCTCCGATCAAGCATGTGGAAACCATAAGCCGGAGGTGGCGGAGGGTCCGGGAAGGGGAATGGAGGACCGGACGGAGTTGGGTCGGAAGTTTTTGGGCTAGGGTTTGTTCTGGGTTTTGGAGTTGAAGAAGAGTTGTCTTTATTGGGATTATTGGAGGGTTTTGGTGAAGGGTTGTTGATGGCTGCGGAGGGTGGTTTTGGTGAAGGATGGTTAGCAGCGGTAGAGGGTTTAGCGTTATTTGATTCCCAGCGAGTTTTGCGGTGGGAGGATGAGGACGATGACGGTTTGTGGGAGGAGGGTTTGGGAGGGTTAGCTCCGGCCATCCACTGAGAAAGTTGGGGAATGAGAAATGGGGTTTTGGGAGGAGTAGAGATTTGGGAGGTTCAGATGTTCGGAGGTTTGCCTGAGAGATACACTTACAACTAGGGCAATCAGACTTTACGGGAGAAACCAGGACTGCCCATCAGCCCATGGGCCATGGTTTCCAAGTGGATGCTTTTGTGGTGCCTTGGACTGAGACCACTAATAATTCATATATGAAAACACTCTATAATACTTAAAATGAATTAAAAAAAAATAAAAAAGAGATAAGAACGAATTAATAGAATTGTCGGAACGTGTTAGTTGAGTTGTCCGATGTTTAGGACCAAACAAAAAAAATTTTGTCTTATAAAAATTATTTTAAAATAAATTTTTATACTGTCGACAAGTATTACTTCCTCTGTTCTTAAATATCTGTCGTTTTATACAATTTTTTTTTGTTTCATAATATCTGTCGTTTAATGAAACAAAAGTATAATTAATATTTTTTCTTTCAAATTTACTCTTAACTTTTCAACGCATTTTTCAACGCATTAGATTAGGTGGAGAGTAAGTATCTTTCGTATTCCTTTCATTCTCAATATGTATTAAATAAAGGTATTTTAGTCTTGTGTAATTATTTTTTATTCGTATTAGAGTTATTTAATAACTTTCTTAATTTCTGTACAAAAATTTTAAACGATAAATATTTAAGAACAAACGAAATATATCCCTCGTAAACGTCAAAGATAGGTGATGTTGTCATGAGAAATGTAAGAAGTCGATAACGGAAGGACATGTCGACTAGGCTAGACTAGTGGGGGACTTTTACGTGATGTAATTGCAGATCCATACGAAAAAAACATAGGGGTTGGCCACCTGAGATCAATGCATTTATTGAAAGTGATAACTTTTAGGGGCTTTTTTTGGTATAAGGGGGTATAGGTATTTGGCAATATGGATTTACAGAAAACAGTCCATGTTTGTTTGAAAAATACAGTTTTAAAATTTAAACTCGGTTCATAGTTACCCGAAAATTAAGCTCATTATCATGGATTTCATCAAACTTAAGGAGAGAGTGAGTTTGGGAAGATAAGTAAGAGATTAAGGATTTAAAAGATAATTATACCTATTAACATGGGTATAAAATATAAATTGAATTAATCAAGGGTAAAATAGTTATTTATAGAACAAATAGTTATTAATAATTATGATATATTTGTAGATCTTATATGTGTATGTGTTACTTACCAAATATAGGTATAGACCGAATTGAATTTTAAATTTTATCTCTTGCAAAAAAAGATTTGTGTTTGAAAAGATACAGAGAAGTCATCCAAACTTCTCCTCATAATTCATCTAAACAAACGCTAAGACTCGCAAGCCTGGGGTTTTTCGCCTCCAAAGCATGCGGATTCAGCATGAAGAGATTTTCACAATTTTTTTGTTTTATCCCAACCATGTTTGGAAAATGGTTTTCAAGTCTTCTCCAAGAAGATTGACTTGAAAAATGGAGCACTGAATTTGTGAATTATTTCAAAATGTAGAAATGCCGAAAACGAAAAAGGCCAACTTGCTCTTGAACAGAGTTGGTTTGCTTATAAAAAAAATAGAGTTAGATTCGATCAAGAATAACTTTGAAAAACTTTTGCTTTTGACACCATTGGTTACCAAAAACCCTCCTACTTCTTATCAAATCCAAATTCGTTTAATTAGATATGGACTAATATTTTTATTCGTTTATTTAAATCTGTTCAAATATCTTAAATCGAATATAAATATGAATATATACTAATTCTGTTTGGATTATCTCAATTTTTTTGCACCAAAAATGCTTTAAACTTATTTTTGTCACTCATCTATTGCGAATTTACCCACAAATTCAATACAAAAATAGATATGGAATTAATGAGTTTAATTGGTAAACAAGTGAAATAGCTAGACTCATCAAATTAATGGGTCGAAACGAATTTGGCTAAACACGACAAGAAGCCAATACAATACGAATTCAAATATTAAAAATCATAAATTTTAAAAAATATAAAAGAGTAATACTATTTTGATCTAAAAATCTGACTTAATAATGCAACTTTATTGGAGTCATTAGATTAACATCAAATTTCAATGTTTGATAAAACTTACAGTTAATCCAAAAAAAATAATAAATTAGATCTTAATAATATTGCTCTATATAGAAATGGTGTATTGTCAACCTTTCCCATGTCTATTCATCTAAAAAGAAATAGGGCAATTTCTCTCTTTTTTTTGTGGATTTTATTTTTTATTTTTTGGTTAATTACAAATTATACCTCGAAAGATTATTCAAATATCAATTTTTACCCTCAAAGATCAAAAATCTTAATTTACACCCTTAAAGATAGGAATTTGTATCAATGTGCACCTCCAAAGATTAAAAATCTCAATTTACACCCTCAAAAATAGAAATTGTATCAATGTGCACCTCCAAAAATTAAAAATTTCAATTTATACCCTCAAAAATAAAAATTTGTATCAATGTGCACCTAAAATTAACTGCCGTCAATTTACTACCTGAAACTAAATTGATAAATTATATTTAGATCCCCTCATGTTTGCTACTTAATCATTTGAATTGACTGCGGTTAGTTTTAGGTGCACATTGATACAAATTTATATCTTTAAGGGTGTAAATTGAGATTTTTGATATTTGGTAGTGCACATTAGTATAAATTTCTATTTTTTAGGGTGTAAATTGAGATTTTTTATCTTTGGAGTGCATTTTGATATAAATTTATATCTTTGAGGGTGTAAATTAAAATTTTTTATCTTTGAGAGTGAAAATTGAGATTCCAACAATTTTTTGCGGTGCAATTTATAATTTTTTTTTTTTTT